TAACTTCAATTCTTTTGCACTTACTTAAATATGTTTTATGAGCGAGTATGTGGTCTATTTTGGAGAACGATCCATGTGCAGCTGAAAAGAATGTGGATTCTGATTTTGTGGGGTGGATCACTCTGTAAACGTCTGTTAAGTTCATTTGTTCAAGAGTTTGATTGAGTTCTAGTATTTTGTTGCTTTTGTTTTGTCTAGTTGATCTATCTATTTGTGATAGTGAGGTATTGAGGTCTCCCACTACTATTGTATTAGTGCTTATATAATTTTTTATGTCCGTTAGTTTTTGTTTTATATAGTTGGGTGCACTAGTGTTTGGTGCATATATATTTATGATTGCCATCTCTTCCTTTTGGATTGTTCACTTTACAAGGATGTAGTATCCTTCTTTGTCTCTCTTTTTTGTTTTTTTTTTTTGGTACTGGGGATTGAACACGGGTCTTTGTGCTTGCAAGGCTGGTGGCAGAACCACTGAGCTAAATCCCCAGCCCCTGTCTCTCTTAATCAGTGTTGGTTTGAAATCCACTTGATCTGCAAAGAGAATTACTACTTCTGCTTTTTTTTATTTCCTGTCACATGGAGTATTGTTTTCCACCCTTTAACTTTCAGTCTATGAGTTTGTTTTTGAATTGAGTGTGTTTTTTGTATGCATTATATTGTTGGATCTTGCTTCTTGATCCACTCTGCCAGTCTATTTCTTTTGATTGGTGAATTGAGATCATTAATATTGATGGTTATAACTGATACGTATTGACTTATGCTTCTCATGACTTTTTCTTTTTGTTGGATTCTCCCCCTTTGCATTTAATTTCTTGTCATGTCCACTGGATGCATTTTACTGGACTTCCTGGGGTTGTGATCCTCATTGTCTTTTCCTAGGATATTGTCTAAAATTTTTTGGAGTGCTGGTTTGGCATTCATGAAGTTCCTGAGGTGCTCTTTGTCATGAAAGTATCTTATTTCTCCATCAGTTTTGAAAGTTAGTTTTGCAGGGTACATCAATCTGGGTTGGAGGCTGTTTTCCTTTAGGGCTTGAAATACATCACTCCAAGCTCTTCTTGCCTTGAGGGTTTGCATTGAGAAGTCTGCTGTGATTCTGATGGGTTTTCCTTTGTATTTAATTTGTTTTTTCTCTCTCACTGCTTGTAGAATTTTGTTCTTCTGTTGGATTTCTGGAATCCTAACTATGATATGCCTATGTGTAGATTTTTTTTAATCAAGGCTAGTTGGAGTCCTATATGCCTCACTTATCTGTATGTCAAGTTCTTTTCCCCTGCTTGGGAAGTTTTCTACCATCACTGCTGTGAAGAGTTTTTTTATGTCAACTGCACTCTCTCCTGTTTCTTCATTGACTCCAATCAGTCTTATGTTATTCTTTTTTGCATTGTCTAGCAGCTGCTGGATTGATTTCTCATGGTCCCTACTATTTTAAAGAAATTTTTCTTTTCCTGGTCACTAACTGCAATCCTATCTTCTATATCTGAAATTTTGCCCTCACAGTGGCACATTCTGCTGCATAGATTTTTCAATGGAATTTTTAATCTCCTGGAAATCTGTTTGCATCTGTTTTATGGATTCCAATTGTTTCCTATTTTGCAATTCCATCATGTTCCTCAGGTCCTCTCTAGATTTATTAATCATGTCTTACACTATGGGCACAATCTCTGCTGTTATCTGAGAAATTATTTTTGATTTCTTTTTTTCCAGATCCTCTTTTGTTGCCAGTTTAGGGAGTCCAGGTGGTTAAGTATTACAGTGTTCCTTCTTGTTTCCCTTTGTGGTTGCTGTAGGTGATCTTGAAGTCTGGTTTTGAGGTTTGTTTATGTGTCCTCACATTTTGGGGGAGAGGGGGTGCTGCTAGTGCCTGTGAGGCCCACCTCCTCTGTGCTGGGAGTGGTGGTACATTGGCCAGGAAGCCTCCTCCTCTGTGCTGGGTGCAGTGGCACATCCTCATCTCTTTTCTAAAGGATTGTTTGTGGGTGCTACACAGGGTAATTATAGTGAGGAGACCTAAAATGTGGACTGAAAGCCTCAAGAAGAATGAAATTATGTCACTTGCAGGAAAATGTTAAGTGAAATAAAGCAGCTCAGAAAGTTATATATATCATGTTTTTCCTTATATGAGAAACCAAATAAATGAATGTATGAATGAATTAATGTATACGTACAGAAGAGTTTACAGGAAAATAGAGATGGGGAAGAGGATGAAAGCAAGAAAAGGGAGAGAGGGTAATGCAATAGGAAAAGATCAAGACATGTTGATTGCATATACAGATTTACGGAAATGAACATCACCATTCTATTAGTAATGTGCACTTATTAAAGTCAAGGTTCCATGTTTTAATCTCTAAGAAGAGTATTACAATTGTAGAATGCAAAAATAAATCCCTGCTAAATGTAAAATTATACAGTGAAAATAACTCACAAAGGAAAAAAGTGAGAAAGGAAGAATAAGCGGTGATACCCAGATGAAATGGAAAAAGCTAGACACAAATTCATGTCAGTGATTATATTAAATGTAAATGGATTGATTCACTAATAAAAAGAAACACACTGCAAATGCAAAATAAAGGAAATGTGGACAGCAGACACAAGTTTGAATCCTTATTCTTTCCCTATTGGCTCTGTGACCTTATCACTTGAAACCAATGGACTTTGTTTCTTTGTCTGTAAAGTGAAGTCATTAGCAGGACATGTATCATAAGACTTCGAGGCTATTCAATAGGAGAGTGTGTGTAAATAATAAATTCTTGTTGAGCATTTACCATCTACCAGGCAGTACTCTAAATGATTCCTATATTTTAACTTCCTCAGTTTGCATGACAACTCTGTATGGTAGATACTATTATTACTCCAGTCTAAAGAGTCTGGAGATGAGGGACACGAGGTCCAGAGGGGTTACACATGGTTCATGGAGGGACCTAGTGAGTGACAGGGATGAGGCTGGGAGCCTCAGCATGCTGATTTCACAGTGTGTACTGTGAGCCCTATCTGGTGCTAATATCAGCATAATGCTAAGATTAAGCTGAGTTTTTATTTTGAAGTTATTTTAAACATATCAACTCATGAACCGTGGTTTGCAGTGGCAGAGGACTCTTAGGTTTTTCTCCTGGACAGTTGAAATCTTTAAACACATTCTGTTGTCCTCCAGGCTTCTAGCTATCCCTTTGAGAAACTGTGATATTATTTCGAAAATGAATTCATGCTAAACTTTTTAGAGTGCTGTATCTGCAGAAGAATGAGCCTTATACAATGTTATTATCAGCTTTCTACAAAGTTGGAAGAGTGACTGCCACTGATGAAGACCACCCACCAAACTGTCTGACCTACAAAATTACCAATGGAGACATCGAGGCTGTACAAAAATTCTGGATTCATCCTCACTCTGGGATGATCGAACTCACCACACAGCCAGACTATGAGTCTGTGAAGCAATACAACCTCACCGTGGAAGCTGTGGACTGCGACAGAGTCCATCCACGCACAGCAGTGGCCACAGTGAGTGGAAAGTCTCAGGCTTTTGTAAAAAAAAGAGGTGGTCTAGTAAGTTCTAATGATTGCAGTAGGAAAGGTTGAACATTAACAACAGGAATGAAGACACTTAGGATTTTCTCTATTTCCCATACTTTCCATGTTTAGTTCCTCTTCACTCTAAACATTCAAGGGAGGAATATTATAATCGTTTCCATCCTACAGATGAGGCTGCTGGGACATGGAGCTTAAGTACCATCCCCGAGGTCACTCCTAAGGTTTATAGAACTGGACTCAAACACAGTCTGCCTGGTGCTGAAAAGTGATGTTCACACTAGAAGTAGTTTGGCATCAAAGTGAGGGAAAGTGTGGTCACCTTTAAATTATTTTCACAACGTGGAGGACTCTGGGAAGATGTCAGGAGTGAATTCTGGAGCATTTGTCAAGAGGGATGTGCTAGTAACGACTACGAGGTTTGGTCACTGAAGAAGAGATCAAGGTGGGGTTGAAGAATTATGAGGCCCCTGCTGCACGGAGCCCCCTGCTTCCTGCTTCTGGGTTATTAGGGTTTCTGAGTATGGCAATGAGAGGACAGCACCAGACCCAGTCACATTAACAATGACAATGACATATTCACGGGGACTGAGTTAAGTCATGAGGCTGGAGTCATGTGTCTTGGGATGATACCCAGGAGAGCAATCTTTATGCAATGGTACCTGTGGCAGTTTTTCCCGTAGACGTTTATGAACTCCCAAAATAGTATAGGATGATGCCACTTGCTATTATCATTCACTTACTACAAATGAGAAGAGAGGGAAGAAGAATTAATGAAACAGCAAAAAAGTTCGAACAACTCTGTGCTTACAAAAGAATTTGCCTAAAGATAAAGCAGGACCTTGTTCATTCTGTCTCCCCTTTAATAAGTATTTATGGGGTTTTAAAATATAACATCTTGGGTTACAAAGCAGTGGAAGACACTGTATATCCTTTCAGGGAGCTTACATTTTTTCCACATGAAAAATTTCATGGCATAGGGTGCACACCAAACCGATGACAAGGGGAACTCAGCGATCAAGTTCAGAAAGGGGAGCTGGGTCCTCAGTGCCCTCAGTCACCACCGCCACCACCCACTCTGTATCGAGAGCTAGTGGAGGCCAGGGGCGATGAGGTGACCCTCGTTAGCTCATTTTGTCCTCAGTCCCTTTCTGGAAGGGGGTTTCTGAAACTCTTTGTCCCACATGAAGGATTCTATTCCCGAGGGTTAGAAGTGAGTACTGTAACTTATCCGAGGTTGCTTTGCTCAAAGAGGTCGGACTAAGTCTGGACCTTGATCACTATCATGCGCCCCAAATCCCCCCTCCATCCCCGCAGCATATTCTGTCATCTCTGCCTTCAGCATACACCCCAGGCCTGCCCTTGCCTTCCCACCAGCTCCTAGAACTCTGGCCCCTCGCCTGGTCATGAGCAGCAGGCTTATAACTGGGCTCCTGGTCTTGACTGGTGCCTCCTGCAGGCTACTGTTGGCAGAGGAGCTGCAGTGGCCCCTTAGAAAGACGCATCACCCCCTCAAACCTCTCCCTCCGCTTCCATCACACCCAGCAAGGCTGCAATGTCATTTCCAGGGTCTGTGGTGCCTGCGTGCTCTGGGTGCTGGAGACCCTTCATCTTTACCTCAGCCCAGAGCACAAGCTCCTCCCCACTTCTCTCACTCGCCAGCACTCTAGTGCTTGTTCATGGCTCACACAACCACTTCAGTAACATCTCTGCCCAATGAAACCTGTTGGCCAGGGCTCTTTATGCTTGGTAATGCTGGAAGCCTCAGGCAATCCATTTGCTTATCAGTAGGGGAACGGATAAGTAAAATACAATAGGTGCCTACTAGGGAATGCTAGGAATCAGGAAGCAATAGCAAGCTGGGGATCGTGGCGCATACCTATAATTCCCACTACTCAGGGGGCTGAGGCAGGAGGGTCACAAGTTTGAGTTCAGGAATTTAATGAGATCCTGCCTAAAAAAGGGGGGGAATGTTGGGCATGTAGCTTAGCAGTAGAGTGCTTGCCTATCATGAGCGACGCCCTGGGATCGGTCCCCAGGACTGTAAAACAAACAAATAAACAAAGAGCAAACAAGTTCTGCAAACATGAAGCAAACATGTAGGGCACTGTGTGAGAAAATTTGGAAACAGGAAGGATTTGTGGTGCAATATCATTTATTCAGATCAGAATTATATTGCCCCCCACTGCATGTCTGTAAGAATACATAATTGCTTAGGGGCACTTATCAAATAGAGGCGGGCAGAGGGAAAATAGGGGAGTAAGTCTGAAAAAAGACCTCTGAACACTGGCAAAGTAGTCCTTATCAGCTGGTCTCTATGCCCTTAACTGCATAGCAGCAGTAAGCATCAGATACAGCCTCAGTAACCTGTCAATGGTTACTGCTGTGCCTCCATCACAAAAGTACAGATTGTAATAGGTTAGGGTCTTTGTTCACAGCACTACTGTAGCACCTGTGTCTCAGTCAGTGCTGAGCACATAATAAATGTTCAATAAACACCCAGTGAATGAATGAATTTGTCCTGCCCACTGCTCCTAGGAAGGTAGGGATTAGGATTAGGATATTTTTGTGGTTGAGTAAAGCAGGGTTGAATCACTTGTTCCAAACACAGGAGCTAACTGCTGCAAGACCCGGCTTGAATGAAGATTTCTGTTCCAAGTCTGAGCACAGTGCTGTTTCCATTACATCAAAGAAATCACCCCAAAATCCACCTACTTCTCTTGTACAGCTACCTCACGTATCAAAAGAACACAAAGTGGTATCAGTCTGTTAAAGTAGCATTGAAAGATTGAACAACCCCCCACAATTTAGCTGCGTTGTTGAAACAGTACAGAAAACACTTTTAAAAAGAGAATTCTTGCAAATGTAGGCACACCAGGGACTCTGACTGTCGCTGAGGAAGCTGCCAGTCACCTGGGAGGTGGGCAGATGACCTTTCTGCGCATTCAGCCACTGACATTTAAAAATCCTTGATATTTTTATCTTCTGTGTAATCATAGTTTGTAGTATTTTAATTAAGAAAATGTTGATAACAGCACCTAATTTAGGACAGATCATACTTTCAAGTAATCATATTGTTACCAAAAATATATATATTTCACTTGAGAGAATGGCGAAGAGGAGCCCCTTATTTAAGAAGGGGGACACATGCTCAGGATGTGCTTGCATTCAGTGTAAATATTTAAAGTGTTAGGGGCATCAGTCTTCAGCACTCCTTCTGTTATCATTTGCATGATTTGTGAGCTTTCCAGAGGCTCATCTAACAAACGAGCCCAAAGCTCTCCCTAATGGCCACCCTGAATGTCAAGTTGGCCAGGAATAATAAGCCACGGGCTCACTGACTGACAGCCAGCATCCAAATTTGCAGGAACAGCTCTGCAAACTGAAAGTCCTGGACTGAAAGTCATTTAGTGATTCTAAATGCTCGGTCCCTACCCGGATGCTGCTTTCTGATTTTGTGTATGAACAGCAGATGATGTGCACGTGACGCCTCTCCTTCCTCCTTGTGACAGGTCACGGTTGACATTGAGGATGAGAATGACGAAGCACCTGTCTGTGTGCCCTCTCTTTTCAAGGGAGTCATTTCCAACAATGTTGCTGCTGGGACAAACGTCAATGGCTTCAAACTAAGCTGTCACGACAGAGATTCGCAGGATTTCGAAATGCGCTTTGAGATAGCTTCTGGTGGATGATTTTATTTCTTTTAATCAAAGCATGTGTCAACTTGCTGTTAGTTGTGCTGTGTTAGACATGGTGTATAACCCTACAAATGGCTTTGTTTATAAAGGTTAAACTATTTCATATCTATAGAATGAAGTTTCCTCAAGGCGAAGCATCTTTTTCACTATTGCATATCCAATTTAATTCCTGATCTAATGGAAGTGTCTATGGCTTCACAAATATTTTCAACACCAGATTTTGGACTTGCCTAAGAAATATACTACTAAATAAAAGTCGCACTGCAAGTCTGAGTCTGCTGTCCATGGTGTTGACCAAAAGTTGCAACCACCTTTTTGCCTGATGATACTGATAGAAGTTCTCTAGGGTAGATGATTTGACACTGCTACTGTTGGGTTGACACAGAGCTGTATCAGTATCTTATCCTGTGTGGAAGGCATTTATTGGAGGCCAACTGTGTACCAGGCACTGTGTTAGGAAATAGATACACAGAAGCATCTAACACAGACATGGATTTTACCTGTGGCACTCGTTGCTTGTTGAACTAGTAATAAGATCAATAATTATAAGATGATAAACTATGCTAAGAAGCCACTGGGTGTGAGATAGCATTAAAAGGAGGCCTATTTAAAATAGGGAAGTCAAATTTGTCATCATCTATCTGAAAGATAGATGGGAGCCTGGAATCAATAGGCACATCGTTAATTACTTATGAGGACTAGTTGGATATTTGTTTCCCTTGCTGGACGAAGAGCTCCAAGAAGAAAGGTAGTGCCTGAATCTTATTTGCAACAATATGTATAGGCCATGGAGAGGACCTGAACTTAGGAGGGGCTTAATTGGCACCATGTTCAGCCTGGCTCACTTGATACTGATCTAGACCAAGCTGAGGGTGAAAGTCGCAGTGCTCTGAGCAGAAGATAAGGGAAGAGGAAGCAATTAGGCAAAATAAGTAGGAAACAGTGTGAGCTTCGCTGGCCACACGTGGGGATATGACTGGTGGTTTTAACCTTTAAAACATGTTTTTCCTAACCAGTTATATTTATTGCTTATTTTATCTGTTTGATTAGAAGCCTTGTATAGAAACGGGAATTCAGAGCACAACAGACATCTTGCTTACACCTGCTGTGTTATAACAGCAGATTAAGACAGTTTGAGCGCATCATTCACTGTATCTTAAAATAATTCTAATTTTTCTATTATTCTTTTTAAAGGAAATGAGAACCATCATTTTGGATTTGACCCAACTCAAGGTTCAAATACTCCAAAATTAATTGTGAAGAATCCTTTTAACTTTGAACCTGGAGCTGAACGGCTGCGGCAGTACCACCTCGTGGTGCATATAGTGGATGACAATCTCAAACACGGCAGGACCACCAAGCCCAGGACGGGCACTGCTGCTATAGATATTTACGTGATCAGAGCTCCTACGCCATCCCCTCCAACCAGCTCTGAAGTAAAGAGTTACGGAATTTAATTTGGTTCTCTGTGTGGGAAATACTCTATTGTCAATCTGAGCTTCGTCTAGAAAGGCTTACAGTAAGATGGGGCAGCAGCCTACCCATATGCCTTTCCTCTGGGCCATAACCTGTCCAGCCCTGGGCGGCATATTACAGTGGACATAAGCTTTGAGTGGGAGCGAATTTGGGCTAATTGTATGTCATACATAGAAAATCCTTAAGAAGCTAATTATATCTGAATTTTCTGAAAGTCCCGCCCATGAGAAGGGCCCATTACTCAATGAGTTCTGTCAATTAAAAATGTCTACAAATTGGCACCTTTGTCTAGTAGCCATGCCCTTCATACTAATGGGCACCTATGGTGTGCCAGGCCTTGTACTGTATGCCTTATATTCATGATTTCATCTAATCTTCAGTTCAAACCTGTGAAGTTTAGCAAACCCATTAGTATTTTATTTTTTAAAAAATCAATATGCAAAGCCTCAGCAGAATTCCAGAACGGCTCCTGAGTCACCCAAGGGTGAAGTGTGTTCAGCAGGCCTTATGCTGTATTTTATTGTCTTCTATCTTTTCTCTTGTTTTTTTTTGGCGGTGGGGCGGGGAGCGGGGGGAGTTGGAGATGGGGATCTCGCTATGTAATTGAGGCTGGCCTTGAATTCACTATGTAGGCCAGCCTCAAGCTCGAGGCAATCCTCCTGCCTCAGCCTCTCAAGTGCTGGGTTCACAGCACCCCCAACTCTTCTATCTTTTGAAATAGAAGCTTTTTTAAAAAATTGGTTGAAAATCTTTTTGTTAGAATATTTAATTTTCAGGAACACACTGTTCTCTCAAGCTGCACAGAAGAGTTAATTAAGTATAGAATAAATAAGAGGACTGTGAAAGCTAAAATGACCTCAGTCACCATCTAGTTCAGACCTTGATTTATGAATGAGAAAACTGAAGGCAAAGAAGAGAAACGGTTCGTTTGGGATCACAGAGCGCTCACTGCACACAGCTCAGTCTTTATACTCTTAACCCGGTGGCTCTCTGTGTTAGTGTCTTTCTGCATCACCTGCCGCGTTTAAAGTGCACGGCTAAGGCAGTGCCCCCTGTCTGTGTAGGACCCTGGCCAGTACCGACATTACTGTGCGTAAACACTTGCTCTACAGAAACGTGGACTAATCCTCTGTTTGCTCTGAAACAATTTTCCCAGCAGAGAAAAGGCCTGACCATCGTGTACACAGCAGTCAACACGTATAGATCCGGTGCCTGGTACATCCCTTTCACCTTCACGCTGTTGGCTGTTTTCTGTGTTGGGCTCGTTTCCTGGCTGTGCTTCCTGCTTTGGAGGTATGGAAACATCATGGAGTGCTGTCAGGTCATGGCCAAGAGCGTCTCCAAGCCCATGCCCAGGTGTGTGATTTTCTTTCTAAGCTTTTGGTGTAAAGACTTAAAATCAACTGAGGTTTGGGATTTCAACTCTGTGGGCCTCTGAGTTTGGTTTTCAAGGAGCAGAGGGAAGTATTGGAGATCAAAACCCAGTGGTGTCTTTCACCAATGACCCCACTCCTACTCTACTCCAAAAACGTTTGGGAGCGTTCTTTCAAAAAAAAGTAACAGCATATTGTTGAATTATACTGTAAAGCATCTGTGCCAGACTTCCCATAGGAAGAAGTTTTAAACTTTAAAGAAAACTTGTTTAAATTAGTCTGTGTTTGCGGTACATAATGAGCACGCTCCTTGTGGGGAGTTGGTGCATGCGCACAAGACCTCCTAGTGCCTCCTTTTTCCCTCCCTTCCCCCCTCCCATTTCTGATCCCCTCCCCTTTTGCAAAAGATCTGTCTCCTTGTTAAACAGACAAATCTGTGAGCAAACAAGCAACCAACTCCTCGTCTTATCTTGATGCAAGATGTTTCACGGACGGACGGGTGTTTGACAGCCACTGGGCAGCAGCGCAGGGACTAGGAACGAGTCAGGTGACCTTTCTGCGCACTGAGACCGGAAGTAAGGCCAGAGGGACGGACGGGATCTTCAGCTGCTTCCGTCACCACCCAGGAAGAGCAAAGAGCATCAGGACTTCAAAAGGAGCCTTGGAATTGAACTTTTATTAATTAAGCAGAATTTATTTGTGCACAGAGAAGAGGGTCGCGGTGGTTAATGAGGCTGTTTCGTAATTTCCCAGACAACATTTCTTTTTGTCCTGGCTCAGAAAGGTGTTATAATAGTCACATGCTGAGTACTGAATGAGGTCCTGTTTGAAACGTGTTTTACCTTAATGAAGCTAATATTTTGTCCAATTTTCTTTTCATACAGAGAAATGAAATATATTGCAGGTAAGATACAGATTATCACGACATGATTATGCTTGAGTTGTGTGATTTTTGAAGAAATGCCACTAGACATCTAGATATCTGACAGTAATGATTTACTTTTGAACAGGAGGTAGAGATCAAAAAGAAAAAGCTGTCACAGGAAGCCGCAGTAAAAAATTCGAAGTCTTAACAGTAAGTGCATTTTGTGGTCCCCCCTGTAATTTATTCTTGTAATTGCTGAACAGTGACAATTTCTTCTATATAAACCTACCTACCCAACCATCATACATAGGAAATAAAATTATTTCAATTTGTCTGTTTCTGCTGAGTTTGTATGCATTACAAAGTTGGAATTTCAGACCCAATCTTAGGATTTGGCCAGGTCAAAATGTGCCTCAAACACATATACATGCAGCAAAGATAGCTAGGCAAATGGAAATCCAACATTTTCACCTTTAACTTTTTGGTACCGGGGATCGAACTCGGGTCCTTGCGCTTGCAAGGCAGGAGGCAGAACCACTGAGCTAAATCCCCGGCCCCTCACCATGAGTTAAAAGCAAAAGCCCTATTTGAAAATGAATGATGTGTGTTGTAGACCCGAATCGGTTCTTTGGTTTTGGAGTTTTCAGCAGGTGGTAAATCTGTACCCTTGTGTGCGCAAGTCATGGTCAAGTCTGCGCGAATGGAACAGAACACGCATGTGGGGGCTGGGGCTAGGAAACCAGACACAGCGTGGGCCGGGGGCATCTCCAGTGCCTCTCAGTGTCTCCGCTCCTGCCTCCCACGTGGCAAGAACAGCTCTGCCCACGTCCTCACCGAGCGAGGCAGGGTCTCGAGCCCGTTCTCTTTCCAAGCTTCCGTCCCCTGCCTCTGCCTCGGGACCGAGGTCACCTCGCCCGCCCGCCCGCCTCGTGTGTTACTTTGCCAGGGCTGCCATCGCAAAGTGCCAGACCAGGCGGCTTAAGGGACAGGAATTTATTTCGCACAGTCCTGGTGGCTACAAGTTCACGTTGAAGGCGTCGGCAGTGTGGTCTCCTCTGAGGCCTCTCTCCTTGCGGGGCCTTGGTCACTTCTTGCTGCGGCCTCCCGCGGTCTGTGAGAGGGACTGGCGTTGTCAGCGCCTCAGTCGCCTCTTCTCAGAAGAACACAGGCCCGCTCACGTGACATCTTACTTTATTAACTCTTTAAAGCCTCGATCTCCCAAGTGTGACGTTCTGAGGCGCTGGTGGCTGGAACTTCGGCCTACGAAATTAGGGGGGAGGGCGCGGTCTACCACTGATGCCGAGTCTTTCAGAGGCGAGGGCCAAACCGCAACCCCAAACCCACTGTTCATCACAAAGCACCAACACTGCAGTTAAACCTGGACACTGAGGCTGCACTTTAGAGAAGACAACTCATACATTAACATCTTTTGTCTTGAAAGAAAAACAAGTAACACACTGTAGTGGTGATGCCATAGGTTCAGTCACTGTTGTGGCACCTCTCAGGTAGGACAAGGGACCTCACGACAAAATAAGGCCCCAGAGGCCATGGAGCCCAATGGAGTGGGGCAGGGGTGGCAGGAGATGAGAGCAGCAGGGAGTTTTGGTCCCGAGGCTGCCGGCCCTCTGTAGATGAGAGATGAAGTAATTTAAAAAAACTCAACTGATCCAATATAAAACACTTGTCAAAGGTAATTTTACCAAGCTGCTTTGATTGCTAACACACAGTGTGTGCTTTTCCAAAGGAAACCATTGTGTACGAGACCGTGTTTGATGGAGAAGCCATTGACCCAGGTATGGTGCTTAATTATCTTTCTTTTGAGCCCATTCTGCCTATTTGGATGCTAGAACTATATAAATAAATCGCTTGTTCTTACACTTTGGAAAATGGGACTCTGTCCTAAGGCAAATCATTTTAGGGCCAGGCAGGTAAAATTAATGACTACAAGGGACCAGATAAAACAGTGCATCGAATCACCAAGGGCAACTGTCGCTGGGGTGGAGCACTATCACTCAGCTCCTGGCATCCCTTCTGTGTGGGAAGCAGGCCTGGAGTTGCCAGAACCCAGTGCTTCAGGAGGAGCTGGACATTCATGCTGTTGCATGAAATCTGCCTGGATTTAAATGCAGGTAACTACTTTAATTAAACTCCCTTTTACAGACCAAATTAGTCCCTCCCATTATATATTAGCGTGCACCCAGCTATCATAGGACTCACTAGCGTAGAACAACAGCTATTTTACTGTAGCTTACTCTGTGTGCATCAAGAATTTGAAAAACTGTCACCTGGGCAATCTTTCCTTTACATGCCATCGATAGCAGGGTCCGTCAGAGGCATCAGCTGGTGGCCGGTGTGAATCAGAGGTTGAAATCCGTGGCCCTCAGCCCCGATGTCACGGTTGGGCTCAGCTGGAGTGCACTTCCTTGTAACCACGCGGGACCTGAGCACATTCCCTGAGGAGAAGCCAGGACCTCAGCTCACACCCGCTGCAGGATGAGTTGCAGGCTCCCCGACTGATGTCACAGAAAAGCATTTCAGGATGCATCCATGAGAGGCAGGATAGGTTTATCAAGTGTAATTAGGGAAGAACACGCAGAAAGTGGGGTGCAGCCCCTTGAGGGATCAGGCATGTTGTGTTAGAGTAGCTGTGGGTTTTCCTGTGGTCTTGGGGGGCCTTCAGGATGGGTGATCTAGGGAATGCATTCCTGCCGTGGGTCACAGTACCCATGTTGGTGGGCTGTGTTAATTATTTGCAAGCATTTGAAGCTGAGCGATGTGCTTTCCATTTAGTGCTATTTCCTGCAGGGTGGAAGTCTGTTGGATTTGTGAACCTATAGTATCAAAGGAAAAGTACTGGTGAAAATTCTGGGCACAATTTGTAGTCTTCTTGTATCTTTAAGGCCCTTAGAAATTTTTTGGAGTGAGCTTCCTGGAAGGGAAAAGGTCCTCTAACCCGGGATACCTTTCTATCCTGCAGCTGCAGTTTCTCTTAAAGTGTAAGTTTTAAACTACCATTTCCTTGTCCCCTGCTTAATATTTCTTCTCCACGATTTCGCTGGTCTCCATGTGATATAGTGGCCTTGTACCAGGTTAGCTGGGCACCGCACATGGCAGCTTGGGTCTCCTAGGGAGAGTTTCGAGAGACAGGAAGGAGAGGTTGTAGGATTTTGAGGCCTGGAAACTGAATGACATTACTTGTGCCACATGTGTGCTGTGGTTAAAGTCATCAGAATCTACCCAGATTCCAAGCAAGGAGCATACAACTAACCTCTCAAAAAATCAAACCCAAAGAAATCTACAAGCCAGGTGGGTCATGGATTTGGAAACTTTATTCTAAGATGTATCTGTTATAAACTCCAAAATTGCAGACTAGATCACATCTGCATTTGGTAAAACATGTCACGAGGTTTTCTTTTTTTCAATGAATGCATTGCTTAATGACAAAGGGAAAAATAGAAAAGTGCCAGAAGTTTTGGAAAAGCCCCAGAGGTGACATCAGAAGGTGAAGGGTGGGAGTTTCGATACAGCCACTGTCTCTCCCTGTGAACCTGGACAAAGAATTTAACTCGAGTTTCCCCTCTTCCAGCTGAAAAGCTGAGTGTAAGGCTATGGATTTTCTCTGCTTCACAGGGGTGATTGTGAACTTTCAACATGACTGTGATAAATATAAAAGTCACTTTGTGAAATGTCACGCGACGAGGGGTTTGCATCACAAAATACTCACTGGCGCCGTAATTGCGTGTGGCACTTTCACTTGATTCCAGACACGTTTGGCTATCAGGCCATGAGGTCACTGATGCTTTGGTACTGATTCCCAAGTGCTCCCCCTAGGATGTCACCCCTGTAAGGATGTTTTGTTAAATTAACAGCATAGTACTCATGTTGTAATGGGATCTGTGTTAAATCGTCTCCTGTGAGCTTCCCTTCCCGGGAATTCAGTGAAAGTGTATGTGGACACTGCAGTGCTCCCCTATGCCTTAGGGCCCCTGTGTTCCTACAACGGGAGGACTGTGATTGTCCTGTGCTGTGGACGCAGAGCCAGGGGCTCACAGGGCCAGCGTCACATGGCTCTTTCTTCCCCGAGAAAGAGAAGAGAAGACGGGGTGGAACTCTGCAAAACAGACCGAGTCCTAATGGGGGAGGACAAAGCAGACCGGAGGAAGTGGTTAGGGTCCTGGCTTCCAGCGCCGGGCACCCACTGTGGCGGAGCGCCTCGGCCAGGCCTCCGGGCAGGGACGGCAGAGCAGCCTGCGACACACCGCTGGGCCCACTTCTTGTCTCTTTTTACCTTCACTATTAGTGGAAGTAATTAAAGTTACTGTTTGCCATTTCTTGTTTCCCTCTAAAATTAGAAAAAGTGTATTTTACAAACACTGATTTAGTACGTACCGTGTACTGGCTTGTTATAAGCACTTTATAGTTATTGACCTATTTGATTCTTATTATATTTAATATATATAACATAATGTTTTGATCCACAGTAAAATAATTGGCTACAGTCAAGAAAATTAACAAATCTATCACCTCACATATTTGTGCATAGGATATTTAATATATATAACATAAAATTGTGCTTTGAGCTTTATTTTAAAATGTGCTCTCTGGCACTCGGCGCGTTGGTATTGCTGTGGCAGTGTGACCAGAGTTCCTGTCCGGGCTCTCTCGCTCCCCACCGGCCCTCTGCCTCTGCCTCTGACTACCCAGGCACTTCCTACAGGAGCCTACAGGTTCACCCGATGTTTGTCCATGCGTGACACCCAAGCTACAAGCGTCAGAATCTCCTTCCATTTGAAGGCCCAATAGCATCCCTTTTTATGTATGCCTCACATTTCATTAGCTCTTCTTCCACCTGCAGACCTTTGTGTGCCTCTCCTCTTTTTACTGATTATACTGCTACTATGTATATCCTATTTAATTTTTCTTTCGGTACCGGGAATCAAACTCAGGACCTTGTTTGGCATCACTGAGCTACATCCCTGGCCCTACCCTATTTAATTTTAACAGTGTTTTCCTTGCACATTGAAAGAGTCTATAGATAAATATGCACTTGCAGAATTATTGCACGATATTTTTAGGTTATTTCTAACATCAAACCATAGCAAATATTTATTAAATTCTTAGTATGGTCAAAATGCTTTCACATGAAATTTTCCTTCTCACAACCATTTACGAGGTGCTCTCTTATTATTACCCTCATTCTATGAGAAAACTGAGAGAGACAGTATATTTCCCCCCGAATCATAGTTGAGTAAGAGGAAAAGCAGGATTAGCATCCAGGCAGTCTGCTACTTACAGCTTATTACTGTTATTCTTGGCCTCTCTTGCCAGTGAATGGCCTGGTAAAACCTGGTGCATTACCAATGACTCAGCTCTAGGTTCTTCCATTAACAAAATAAACAAAACAAAACCCCCAAGCACAGCTGTATGTGATTTGATAAAGGTGAAGCTCCTGCAGGTACTCTCTGCTGATTCAGGGCTTGGCCAACCCTCCTGGTCTTCGGTTTCCTCAGTGCCAAGGATATGGATATAAATTTGGCTATGTATATGGACGAGCGCTTTACAGTTCATTGTAACTCGCTGGTCTGTTTCCCTTTCAGTGTCTGGCAATGTGTACGAATACAACAGCAGAACGGGAGCCAGAAAGTGGAAGAAGCCCCCCAGGCCCCAGGAGGAGGCCCTGGCAAGCACAGGCTCCCTCCCTGAGGTGCACCCTCCCAAAGACTGGGCCTCCTTCAAGATTCCTGTGTGAGGGTGGCACTTCCCAGCATTGCTGGATTCTGTGTCTGTGGCTGACTCGGGCAGTTCCTACCCCACTTTCTAAAGTCAAAGCTTAGACGTGCGGGCCAGCCGCCGTGTGTGTAGCCCTGCGTGTAGTCTTCCAGCTCAGCATTCCAGCAGAGGGGAGCTGGTGTGCGAACTCTGAGTCTCCGGGGTTTTGCTGAAAACTAGAGGCCGCACTGCACCTTCGCTGACTTGCTTTGCCCAGTGCACCGTGGGCTGCCTTACATCAGAGACTTATTTCCCTTTGCTCGTTGCTGGCGGCCCAGCGTGTGTCAGCAAAGAGTGGGGCCTCCAGGCTTGCTTGGTGAATAAATGAATTTGAGTACATGACTCTTTTTTTATTCATTAAGTTTACTGGTACATTTTAGGTATAAACTATGCTGACATTCTTCACTGGGAATTTGTACCTTTACATGATATATCTTGGTTCTTATTATTTCCCTATTCCCCTGCCCTCCCTTCAACCCCTCCAGTCCTCCCTATTTACCAAGATTTTGTTCCTATTTTTCCATTTTCTCATATTAATCCCATTCCCTTCTATCCTTTCCCCTAGCCCTCCCACTTCCTTCCCCTTTGCCCCTTTTCTTCCTATTTCACATGACCTATTATACATTTAGTCCTTATTTACACTCTCAGTTTCTCACACCAGAGAAACTATTCAGTATTTACACAGGTGTGTCCTATTGATTTCACTTAAGAGTATCGCCGCAATGTGCCTCCATTTAGCTATAAATGTCTCTACCACGACTCTTCATCTGCATTTAATTCAGATTGTGTATTCTACTGTGCCCCACGCAATGGAAATGGTTTTCTTTTTAGAAAATAATCTTTTGGTTTCTAAAAAATGCAGGATTTTTCAGCAATTTTCCAATGGGCCCTTGAGCTTGCTTTTAGTTGTCTTCTTATTGTTCTATGGAGAATGACCACCTGGAACTTTACTTATTAATGACCTGCACGGAGAGGTCAGAAGCAAGGTTTCTGAAATGTTCGCGCCTAGACAAGCAAGCCTGAGATGCACACAATCTCTTAGCCGGCCCCCTTCCCAGAGATCACAGACCCTAGGGGGCAGGGGGTCCCCGTGCTGTTGATGGGAGAGGCTAGGTCCACATTCAGTTCAAAATGGAGTAGAGTGTAGGGTAGTTTTTTTGTGTGGGGGGCAATGTTTTTAAACAAGTCTTATCCAGAGTAAAATGCACCATGAGCACTGAAGTGATCTTTGCATCAGAAGATACTTAGGGCTCGAATGACAAGAAACACTCTGGCATTCATCTCCCTCTGCACAGACGCCTTAAAACCATTCCCTTTCAGGCTCAGGGTAGCTGATCTCCCATAGCAGCAAGCACCTGACAACGAAGGGACTCATTTTTAAGACGCCTCGAGTGCGTAGGGCCTCAGGAGGCCTTGGGTAGCGGCCACAGAAGCTCTGAATCTGGGCTTTGGACAGTCGTGTATTCTCTCTGAAGTTCAGACTGTTTTCTAGAAAACGCAAATAATAACCCTGGCTCTATTTCTGAGGGCTTATTCTGTGAAAAGCATTATAAAATAATTGAGGTCTACACTTCGCAGTGCTTTCTAACCTGCAAGTGGTGTTAAAATATAAAATGAGATTTAGTTCGATCAGGCCAAAACTGGCGGCTGAGAGAGCGCTGGGTTGGGCCACGGGGAGAGACAGCAGGGTCACCGCAAGGTTCTAGGCCGGTCTGAGCTGGAATTGGCTGGAAATGAGCTTCCCAACAGGTGGGAAAGGCGAGTCCTGCCTCTGTCCAGGTGGGAAGCCGGTTCTGCCCCGGGGAGACCGAAGACTGGGGAGGAGCTGCTGTCTTCTCTTCCGCAGAGCTCTCCTGGGTCGGTCACGGCTTGATGGATATGGGGCTGTGAGTCTTCAGCTGCTGACACCCGAGCTTTAGGAAAGAACGCACTTGAAATCTTCCTTTTCAAGGTCTGCCTTGGGTCAATTTGTATTTGATCTGCCTGTGCGAGAATCGAGAAGGAACCTGGTAAGTCGGTGTTCGTTTTCCGCAGCAACACGCTATTTTTGGCTCGCCTGGCTGCTGTGGACCTCTGTCCGGAACCTGGCAGAGAGGCCCGGAGCCGGGGGCCCCCCGGGGCGGGCTTGGGGCGCGGTCAGGAGGGCGTCCTGGGGCGGAGCCTCCTCTGAACCCCGCGCTCCTCTGTGCTGTCCTGAGCAGCTCCAGTTTACCAGTGACGCGTCTGTGAGTCAGGGCGGCTGCCGGGACAAACTACCGCGCCTGCGTGTGTAAGCATCCCGGCCACCCTGGGCTCTGGAGCCGGCGTGGGACCAGGCCGTAGGTTCACTCCGGGGCGGGGGCTCTTCACGTGCCGTGCCTCCCACCTTTCTCTCTTCCTCACTCTGTTTTTCTGTTGTTCTAAAGTTAAATTGTAGTTTTTATTGGCGCATGTTTGCAGGACATGATTACGCTTTTCGGGGGAGTCGGTGCATGCGCACAGCACCTGTGAACTCCTGCATCCCTCTTCCTCTGCTCTCCCCTCCCTCTGGCTCTTGGCTCTCTTCCCTTCTGGAGAAGATCTATCTTCTTGCTCCTGTTACTTTATTTTGCTCTTTAATTGCTTTATACTTTGGGTTACCCATATAAGAGAAACCATGTGATACTTAAGCTTGTGTGTTCAATTTATTCCACTTAACGTTAGTCTTAGGTGGCTTTCTTGTCCTACGTGTGACTCAAGTTTACCTTTCTTTATGACATAGTAGTATTCCATTGTGTATTAATACCACATTTTACGTTGGGTGTGGTGGTGCACACCTGTAATTCCAGCACTTGGGAGGCTGAGGCAGGAGGATCACCCCACGTTTGAGGCTAGCCTGGGCCACATAGTGAGTTCAAGGCCAGCCTGGACTATATAGCCAAGCTCTGTCTCAAGAAAAAAAACACCCACATTTTCTTTATGCATTTATCTTTTGATGAACTTCCAAGATTTAGCTATTGTGAGTTGTGCTGCTGCAGACATGGATATGCTTGTGTCACTAAAATAGGGTTAGGGTTAGGGTTAGGTTTAACTCTTTTGGGAAGGTACCTAGAAGGAGAAGAGCTGAGTCAAATGGAGTTTCTAGTTTTAGCTTTGTGAGGAATCTCCACACTGATTCCACAGTGGCTGTACTAGTTTACACTCCCACCAGTGGTGTCCAAGGGCTGCTTTCCCTGCAACTCACCTGCACTTGTTGTTTGATTTCTTGATGGTGGCCTTTCTTTCTGGGGTGGTTGGAATCTCAGTGCTGTTTTAATTTGCCTTCGTCTAATGGCCAGCGATGTTGAACATACTTCTTCAGGGAAGTTTCTACTCATTTCCCATTTTTTGACAGGGTCTTTTATTTTGGGGGGTCTAATTTTTTTGCATTCATTATTTAGTCTAGATATTAGTTCTCTGCCTGAAGAATAACTGGCAAAAATTTATACCATTCTGTAGTTTGTCTCTTCACTCTGTTGGTTTCCTTTGCTGTGCAGAAGCTTTTTAATTTGCGATGATCACATCTGTTGATTCTTTTATTGTTGTTTTGTTAAATTCTTTTATTGGTATATTTTAGGTATACAACACAATTACATTTCTCATTGGGAATTGTACCTTTACAAAATGCATCTTGGTTCTTATTTTTTCCCCAT